GCCCGCCGCCGGTCTCCGCCACTCACCGCAAGAACACCCGTGTTCAGAAAGAGGAATAGCCTCCCTCTGCCTTAGTCGCTACTGTTCCTTGAGATTCTGCGCGCTGCGTTACCGGCCAATGTTTACGCCAGCTCTTCTCAAACTTTGACTTCCACCCCCGGGGCATCTTGTTAAAATGCAGATTCTAATTGGATAGGTCTGGATGAGGCTCCAGTCCTATAGTTCTGGGGATCTCCCAGGTGATGCCAATGGTCCTTGGAACACACTTTGAGTTGCAAGGGTCTAAGCATGTTTTCCCACCTTTCCAGGGAGTTCTCCCGGGGAGCGGAGGTCGTGCTTAATAAACGTGTTTGCATGCCCTCAGTAGTTGGTTGATCTTATGCAGCTGATAATGAAAAACTCAATTTCCAAAAGCCCTGAGAGGAAGCCAAAGAAAAGTCCCTAGTTTACACGGACAGACTTTCGTTTTAACAAATTTAATATTAAAGGAAGTTGTCTCCAGCTGTAAGTTTTGAGGGCCCCACTTTCCCCCAAGATATCTCCTCTACAGTCTTGTCTCTGCCTGGATCTGGAAAGAGATTACAAGCATCAGGGCTTGCTCTCCTGAAGGCTGCTGCTGTAGTGCAGCATTAGGTGGAAATGGAGAGAGCCCTGGAGGAGGACTCATCCTTTGTTTTCTCCTGATAGCTGAGATTCATGAAATTAGCTGTTAATTTGGAACGCACAGAGTCTGGAGACCAGTGGTTCTCAATCACGATTGCCCATTAAAGTTACCTGGGGAGTTTTTAAAAATCCAGATGCCCAGGCTACACTCGAAGAGAATTAAATTGGAATCTCTGGGGATGATACCAGATTTCAGGCGTTTTTAAAGCTCCCCTAGGTGATTGCAATGTTCAGCCAGAGCTGAGTATCACTGCTTTAAGCAGTGCATTATCAGGGAGCTGACCACTTGTGATGGTGAGACAGGAAGAAAGTGAGTTCTCGGGAAGAGGAGCAGAGTGGGAAGTAAATCAGCAGGCTTATTTTTTCTTACTTTATTTTTTTAAAAATCTGCCCTCATTTTATATAAGGTCGGAATAATTGTATTGAGAAAAAGTTAGGGAGAGGAAATTCATAGAGTTGGAAATTTAGTTCCAGTGTGTTAATATCTAACTTCTGATAGTGTGTTAATAGCTTCTGATAGGCGGCCGCGTCATGTGCTGTCCTTGCCCCTGGTCACGTGGCAAAGTCAGACAGAAGAGTTGATGGGAGCAAGAGTGTCTCGAGGTTCTCTGCTCAAACTTGGGTTTCAAACAACCTAGGATGGAGACCTTAGGTCCAGCCAAATCCCTTTAAGACATAAAGCTCCCGTGTGCCAGTTAAGCAAGGACTCTTACTGTTTAATGCTCTGAAAACAAATACCCAAGCTTCCAGGCGAAGCGGGAAGAGCCTCGGTTTAATCTGACTGCAGTGGGCAGTTTCTTGGAGCAGAAGTGAAGCTGCGGCTAAACCCTATGCAGGTGGCTCAGTTCAGCAGTCATTAGTGGGGAAGGCTGGTGCCCTGGGTAGAAAGAGTGGTGGTTCTGTAGTCAGTAACTTGTATTCACAGCTGCCAGGCAATCAACACAATTAGAGCTCACTGGCATTTTAAAAGCTCACTGAGAGCCAGGGCAAATAGGCCAAGGCTGTGGCTACTTCTTAGGACCTTTGCAAGGGGCATGCTGCCATTTTTCAAGCTTCAGTCCATCTAGGCAGCCAAAAACACTGGCTTTGCCTTCAAGGATGAAAGTAATGGCTGTGCTCCATTCTCTCCCTTTGAGGAGCTGCTCTCTTCCAGGGCTCTAAAGGTTGCAGGCCCCAGAGCTCTAGCCACCGGATCCATCTACACAGGCATCAGTGCCATGGTTGACATACTATTCAGGGCTCCTCAAGTGATGTGTTCAGTCCCAACCACCCCCCTGAACTTCAGACACTGTGTTCAGCTGCCTCCCTGACATTGCTACTCAGCTGTCCAATAACCATCTGAAACATAACATCTAAAACTAAACTCATGATTTGCTATCAGAAATCTGTCCCTTCCAGAATGTTCTAAATTTCAGCAAATGGTGTCATCAAAATCCTTGACATCATCCCCGTTTCCTCTCTTTGTTTCATACCTCATATCCAATCCATTAGCAAATCCTGTCAATTCCACCTGCAAAACAGACTCCTTTCAGCCTGTTCTCATGCTAGTCCGCACCTCTCACCCGGACAACTTCAAAAGCCTCCCATTGCATCTCTTCGCTTTCCCCTCCCCCTGTTCTGCCGCCTCCAGCCCAGAGTCTGTTTTCCACCCAGCAGTTACATTGCTCCTCGTAGAAGTAACTAGATCAAATCACTCCTCACTCATAACCTTCTTACAACTTCCCATCATTCTTGGAATAAACTCGAAATGCTTAGCAAGGCCACGAGGCCCTAGGCAACCTGGCCCCTGGCTACCTCTCCAACATCACCTACTAACACCTTTCCCCTTGCTCACTCACACAAGCTTTCTTACCAGTCCTCAAACAAGTGAGACTAGTCCCTTCTCAGAGCATTTGCCTTGTTTCCTCTGGTTGGGATGCTTTTCCAGCCTGGCAACCAGATGGCTCCCTCCTTCCCTTCGCTCACTTTTCTGCTTGAAGAGCACCTCCTCTAAGAGGCCGTTGCTGAGCAGTCTTCATCACACACCATCCAGTCACCCTGTGCATTCGTTTCCTATTGCTATTGCTGCTGTAATTGATCACCACAAACAGTACCTTAAAACAACACAAATATCTTACATTCATGGAGGTCAGATGTCCAAACTCAGTTTCTCTGGACTGAAATCAAGGTGTCCGCAGGCCTGCATCCCTCCTGGAGGCTCTAGGGGGGAAATCATGCCCTTGCCTTTTCTAGCTTCTGGACGTTGCTTTTATTTCTTGGCTCATGGTCCCTTCCTCCATCTTCAAAGCAGCACAGCATCTTCTCTCTGCTTCCATCCTCTCACCTTCTGTGACTTTATCCTTCTTTCTTATACAGACCCTTGGGACTACATTGGGCCTGCCTGGATAATCCTTAACTACACCCACAGTCCCCTTTGCTGTGTAAGGTCACATGGTCACAGGTTCTAGGGATTAGGACATAGACATCTTCAGGCCACCATTGATCTCTCTACCACAAGTTGAATTTTCTTCACATTCCTTATTATTACCTCTTATTCTATAGCTCCTTTTTTGTCTGTTCTCTAGGTTCCCCATGGAATGAGTTAATGCACTTAGTAATAGTGATGGAATAAAAGGAACATTCAATGAGTATTATCATTGTTGTTAGAATAAAAGTTCTGTGATGATAGAAAATTTATCTCATTTCCCATTGAATTCTCACTATGTAGCACAGTGCCTAGCACACAGAAAGTGCTCGAGAACTATCTGAAAGAATGAACTCCTGTAACATGATCTGTAACAATAGTGCCAGTGCACTCCAATAGTATTTCCCCCTAGATCCTAAGGAACCATTATCCCATGATACATATAAATAATACACTAATGCATGGAAATTGCTCTCTGGAAATGTTCAGGGAGCTTCCAGAACAATGCATTCCCTACTTTGGCTAAAGCTTAAGTATTTGTTTTCAGAGCACTGAACAGAAAGAATCCTAACAGGCACATAGTTGCTTTATGTTTGGAAGGCATCTGTCTAGAAACACAGTCTCCACCTCTATTTTTTTTTTAGAAATTTACGTCTGAGCAGAAGACCTTGAAAAACCCTCTGCTGTTGTTAACATAGTTTTCAGGAGGCCATTAAGTATCTGGGCAAATCCCAGAGATGCAGGCCTGATGGAACAGCCTCCTGAAATCAGGGATCCCTTCTCAGCTCCACACTGGAGGCAGGTGAAATTACAGTCACAGAGATATTCAGATCTACTGCATCAAGGGCTGGGGACAAGGAAGTCTGATGCTTGAGCTTTAGCCAGTGGATAATCCTATGTACTCCCTTTGATTTCCTGAAGTCTCTGCTGGGTTCAAAGTTTGAAGTCTGTGTGACAAATGATTAAGTGCCCATGTTAGCAAATTACCATTAACAGTTCTTTTTCAAACTCCAGTTTACAGAATATTTTTAGAAAGGATTGCTTAGTGCAAGTAGAATAAAATCCAAACAACTATCATGATCTGTGAGACCCCATGTGATACAACTCTTGCCCATCTGCTCAAACCCTAGCTTCTATCATTTTTCTTCCATTCTTACTATACTTATGTCTAACCAGACTGGCCTTCTTTCCATTTCTCAATGAAACCAAGTGCATTTCTCATTTAGGCCCTCTGCTGTTATTGTGTACTCTGCCTGGAACAATTTTCACCATGGCATAACTTTGCATGGTGCCCAGATCAATTTCATGTTGATCTCAGAGGGTCCTACCTGGTCTGTCAATCAAAAGTTGACCCCTCCTCGGTGTTATTTTCTTCACTGCACTTCCTATGATCTGAAAGTACATAACTGAAGAATTACACATGGAAAAGTACAAAACATTGACTAAGGAAGTTAAAGATGACTTAAAGAAATGGAAATATATCCCACATTCTTGGATAAGAAGAGTTAATAGTATTAAAATGGCCATACTACTCAAAGCAATCTATAGATTTAATGCTATCCCTATCAAATTACCCAGGACATTTTTCACAGAACTAGAACAAATAATCTTAAAATTTATATGGAATCACATAAGACCCAGAATTGCCAAAGCAATACTGAAGAAAAAGAATGAAGCTGGAAGAATAACCCTCCCAGACTTCAGACAATACTACAGAGCTACAATAATCAAAATAGCACAGTATTAGTACAAAAACAAACATATGGACCAATGGAACAGAATAGAGAACCCAGAAATATACCCACGAACTTTTGGACAATTAATCTTTGACATAGGAGACAAGAATATACAATGGAGTAAAGACAGTCTATTCAGCAAATGGTGTTAGGAAAACTGGACAGCTGCATGTAAATCAATGAAGTTAGAATACTCCCTCACACCATACACACAAGAAAACCCTCAAAATGGCTTAAAGACTTATACATAAGACAAGATACTATAAACCTCTTAGAAGAAAACATAGGCAAAACATTCTCTGACATAAATCTCAGCAATGTTCCTCTAGGGCAATCAACCCAGCAATAGAAATAAAAGCAAAAATGAACAAATGGGACCTAATGAAACTTACAAGCTTTTGCACAGCAAAGGAAACCACAAGCAAAACAAAAAGACAACCTACAGAAGGGGAGAAAATATTTGCAAATGATGTGACTGACAAAGGCTTAATTTCCAGAATATATAAACAGCTCATACAACTTCATAAGAAAAAAATAACCCAATCCAAAAATGGGCAGAAGACCTAAATAAGCAGTTCTCCAATAAAGATATACAAATGGCCAATAGGCACACGAAAAAATGCTTAATATCACTAGTCATCAGAGAAATGCAAACCAAAACTACAATGACATATCACTTCACACCAGTCAGAATGGCCATCATTCAAAAGTCCATAAGCAATAAATGCTGAAGAGGGTGTAGAGAAAAAAGAACCCTCCTACACTGTTGGTAGGAATGTAGTTTGGTGCAGCCATCATGGAAAACAGTATAGCGATTCCTCAAAAGACTAAAAATAGACTTACCACATGATCCAGCAATCCCACTCCTGGGCATATATCCAGAGGGAACTCTAATTCAAAAAGATACATGCACCCCAATGTTCATAGCAGCACTATATACAATAGCCAAGATATGGAAGCAAACTAAATGTCCATCGACAGATGACTAGATAAAGAAGTTGTAGTATATATACAATGGAATACTACTCCGCCATAAAAAAGAATAAAATAATGTCATTTGCAGCAACATGGATAGACCTGGAGACTGTCATTCTAAGTGAAGTAAGCCAGAAAAAGAAAGAAAAATGCCATTTGATATCACTTATATGTGGAATCCAAAAAAAAAAAAAAAGACAAACGAACTTATTTACAAAACAGAAACAGACTCACAGACATAGAAAACAAACTTATGGTTACCGGGTGGATAGGAGGTGGGAAGGGGTTGGGAGTTTGAGATTTGTAGATACTAATATATATAAAATAGTAAACAACAAGTTCATACTGCATAACAGAAGGAACTATATTCAATCACTTGTAGTAACTCACAGTGAAAAAGAATATGAAAACAAATATATGTTCATGTATGACTGAAGCATTATGCTGTACACCAGAAACTGACACAACATTGCAAACTGACTGTACTTCAGTAAATATATATATACAAAAAAAGAAACAATGGAAATAATTATAACCATCATAAAAATTTTTTAAATAAAATTATGTAATTGATTCACCTGCATACTTCTTGTCTGTCTGTCCTATCCCATCAGATGGGTACCTCATTGAAAGGCACCCATCAGATGGGATACTAAAGCCTTTAGGGTAATAGATGCTCAATAAATGTCTTTGTTGAGTGCATGAATGAATAAATTAAATTTTTTAATTGAGCTCCGGTATTAATTTCTGATACTATCGAACATATCATGTCTCATGGGTGAGAAAGAAAGAAAACTTCATGACTTACCAATTTCTCCACATCAACATATATTTTGGGTGAAGTGAGCTTTAGTTGTATCCATCTCTCAGTCATTTCTGGTGCTAGACGGGCACATTGTCAATGTTTCAGGGCACCGCTTCCCTCTCATGCTAAATGGGGATTTTGTCAGAATGTTCCTGCTACCCAGGCTCTAAAAGGTAGAGGGCTCCATGTCCCTACAAGAATTGCAGAGAAAACAGAAAAAAAATGTAGAATCCCAGCAAGTCAGAATATCACACTTTCTTCACATGCCAGTTTTTTGCATTCACTTTGAAACCTGTTTAAAATGAATCACTCAGCTGTGTTCTAGAGCAAAACTCATACGACTGTGGGATGACAGAGACCACGCGATCTCGATCTCCTCAAAAAACAATGACAAGAAGTAACACAGGAAAGAAGATTAGGCCCTTCTCCCCTTTCCCTCAAGTTTTTGAAGCCCCTTCACAGGTAGGTGCTGATATTCACAAACTTGGTGTAAACAATTTGAAATTTATTTCCACCAAGAAGAGAGCTTGAAATATTCTCACAGTATCTGTTAGCAATGTTGTAGTGTAGTCTCAAATTTAATATAACCAGATACACAAAACAGACAATTTAAATCAGAAATCTGTCCTCATTCTCTAGAGCTCATACTATCAGAGCTGTGAAAATGGCATCATACAGAGGAGGCCATATTGGAAATAGCCCACAGCTGTCAGGCCTCTTGCCTGTGGCCATCAAACAGTTTGGGACTGGGTTCACTGCCTTTGACTTTTACATCACATTTTGTTACCATTTTGGGCACTTCAGTGTCCTATACAACATCCTAGTCCCAAATTTCCATGACAGACCCATCCCAACAACCTGTGTTATCTTCTGTTGCAGGCCCCCATTCCTCTGTACCTTGGAGACTTCTTGAATGATTAAACTCAGAAAGCACACTTTCTGAACACAGCTTCCTGTTTTTTTCAAACTTGGATGTGCTTAAGAAGCTTTAGTTTGTTTTAAAGAAAAATTCCTAGTCTGAGGGATGCTCTGAGATTTTGAATCTGTAACTAAACTATTCCTAGAAATGTGTTTTAAACAGGTACAGCAGGTGATTCTGTGTGTTTTAGACAAGATAGACAGCACTTTGGTGACAATCAGTGAGTAGATATTTCCTCTCTGTCCTGCTCTTTACCCCTTCCCTTTTACCACAAGACTCTCATTTACAAGTTATAGAACATCCAGCTAGAAGTGTTTTCAAAATATGACTTTACTTCTCACATAAACAGAGGTCCAAAGTCAGGCTGCTCTCAGTTACCCATTAAGAAAGCAGGGGCTTTTCAACTTTCTACTTCGTTATCTCCAGGTATCTATGAGGACCCCACTGGTGGCTCCCAGATGGCTTCAGGGTCCCTAAGCATCATATTATCTCCCCTAAATTTCCAAGAGCAAGAAGAGAAGTGGCAAGGGCAGTTTCTATTTGAGTACTTCTATTTTTACCAGAGAAGAAAACGTTTTCCAACAGCCCACCCAACAGATTTCCTCTCAGGTCCCACTCACTAGAATTGGGCAGTGTGCCTGTGCTCTAGCTTCCAGGAGACTCTGTGGAGGTGTTTTCACATGGAGGAATTCACAGGTGACTGTTGATCAGGCAACTAAGAGTATCCTGTCTTCTTTTCCTTCCAGGCTACATCATTTATGCATAGCAAACAGCCCCCCTGCTCCAAACTCACTGTCTTAAAGCAATGATTGTTTTTTCTTGTGATTCTGTGAGTTGGCTGAACTCAGCTGGGTAGTTCTTCTGCTCCATGGAGTATCAACTGGATACCCCTACATTTAGCTGGGAGCTCAGCTGGGGTGAAACATCCAAGGTGGCTTCAGTTACCTGTCTGGCATCTCAGCTGGAATGGCTGGAATGGCTGGAGCCTAGCTGGGTCCATCTCTTTACATTTGTTTCCTCATCATTCAGTTGTGTCGCACAAGCTTTTTAAAATGAGGCTGAATCCCAAAAGAGCAAAAGAAGAAGCTTCCAGGTCTTTTAAGGGCTAGACCTGGAACTGACATAGCATCACTTTTGCCACTTGCTATCAGTCAAAGCCAGTCACAAAGGGAAAGGGAAGCAAGATACACCATTTGATGGGAGAAGCAGCAGCCACACTGAAAACGGGTATGTATATGGGAACAGAGATCACCTTAGCAGACAGTCCAACTCAGTCCTCCCTCTTGCCACAATGGCAAACATCCCTCCCACGTGTAAAATACATTCAGTCCCTCTCAAGACCTGCAAAATCTCATCTAATTATAAAATCAGATGCCAAGCCCAGGATCTCATGAGGTTCTTTGTTTGCGTTCCTCTTATTCTGGGAAACTATGAACTAAAAATACAAGTTATCTGCCTACATGCATCAGCATACATTGGTGAGGCAAGGCAGAGGATAACTGCAACAGATTTCCCATTCAAAAAGGAGTTGGGGGGGAGGTGGTCAGGGAGCAAAATACATCGCAGTCCCTGGCCCAGAGCAATTCTGAAGTCCAAGCAGGTGTGTGTTGCTGGTTCCCACACTCTGAGAATGTTCCTTGTCTCACATCCAGTTCTGCTGTTCTCACATCTGAGAGCTGTTCTCGGCAGCTCTTAGCTCCAGCCTCTGGGCTCCTGGCTCTGCTCTCCACACCATTCTTCTTTTAAACAGGAAACAGCCCGTGATGGTAACTGAGTGGTTTTTCAGCCTTTTTTCTATCCATAAATAGTTGGGGGTCCAGAGTCTTCTTTTAATCTTTATCTGTTTCTCTCTTTTAGTCCAAATGGATGTAACTCCTTTGGTTATTCTGACACAAAGTATTTCTTTTACACAAAGGAAACATTGTGAGCTTTCTTTATGTAGTTCATATATATACATATATTATATATAGATATAAAATATATACTACATACAATATATGATTATTTGTGTGTGTGTATATATATATATAAAATCATATTAGGTCATATTATACAAAAGCCATTCCTACAAATCTCTTTGAGATTGACCCCTCTCTACTTTGGACTCAAAGTCAGGGTATTAGTGTAAAATGCTCCTAATGCTCTTAGAAGTAGTTTTGTCCAGGTATACTGTTTCTTCCAGCCACACTTGATTGGGGCTTGACCTGAGAGCACATTTAACTGGAAGAAGCCTACATTTCATCTTTGCTTTGAGGCTATTTTTTGCTTTTAGAATATATATATATTAGCCAGAATATCTGTCCTGGGCCTCCTTTAGTTCCTCTAAATTATGTTTGCTTTTTATTCTTTTGTAAAACCCTGAAAGAAGGCAATCAGCACTTGTAATATTCTGCCAAAAATCTCCTTTGGCAGATCCACAAATTTATCTGGTTCTGTTTCTATCTTCCAAGCCATAGCAGAGTCGTCAGGGCCATCTTTGCCCATCTACCGGCTGGATTCACTCTTTGTTCTTCTGAGCTCTTTGGGACATCACTTCAGCTTCTCTCTAATTAGCACCTTCACCTCTTTTATCCATGCCATAAAAACCTCGATTATCTTCTGTTTCCACTCTGGCGTGTGGGCTGTTGAGAGATTTCCACTGAAGCATATGGGTTGAGGCTGCTACAAACTACTACAGTATCGTGGTCTCCAAACTTGACTTGGCTCTAAGCCCTGCTCTGCTAGTATTGATTAGTCCTGATGGAGCCTATTCTTATTCCTGGAGAGGCTCTTCCAAATCTTCAGTTTTCTCCTTCAACTCCCTCTCACCTAGAGTGTCATCATGCCTCCATCTTTACATGAAAGAACCTGGTAAGAATAAATCCTCACAGCTCTCCAATTCTTACTCCTGAAATTCCTTTCCTCAACCCTGACTCTTGCCTCTGGAAAGAAGTCTCTCTCCTATCCAAAGGAACTGCCCACGTTCTAGACCTTCTACCCTCCACTCTGCCCAACAAATTTCTCTATCAAACACACCCACGTCTTACATCTTATTCAATTTCATCTTCACTGTATCAACAGCTTTCTCCATCTTTATGTATAAAAAAAGACCAAGCAACAGCAAAAGCACAGTTCTTTTTGAATTAAGCAATTCTCCTATGGGACAGAAAACCCATCTCAAACTGGCATAAAAAAATAAAACCTAATTTGAGAGGTGGGGATAGCTTATGAAGAGAACTGATCCAGTGGCTCAAATGGTACAATGCAAGAATCAGGTCCTCTCCCTTCCTTCAACCTGCCTTCTGCAGTGTATCATTCTCTGCTCCACGCCTGTCCCTCTGTTCCATTCTCTTTCTTCCAAGTAGCCAAATGGCTGCTACATACCAGACCTCTAATCCACATGCCACATTTGTTAGAAGAGGAGCGCATATTTCTGTTGATACTTCCCACATAAACCAGGGATGTTTTTCTTTTCCAAAAGTCACAGTAAACTCTTCTTGCATATCATTTTATCTTATTAAGTTGACACCTTTATCAGTCAGCAGAGGCAGAGTTGTGGTGTGGTTTTAAAAAACTTAGTGGTTTAAAACAATAAAGGTTTATTTCTTACTCATGTCTTCATGACTAAGGGTGAGCAGGGAATTAAAATGAGAGTAAGAGACACAAGTACCAACTGTTCAAAAACAAAAAGAAAAAGAAATAGATTAAAAAAACAAGATAGAGTCTCAGATCTACATAAACTAAAACTTTGGATTAGTTGAATACCTTCAGGAGAAATAGATTAAAAAAACAAGATAGAGTCTCAGATCTACATAAACTAAAACTTTGGATTAGTTGAATACCTTCAGGAGAAATAATCACTAACTGGTTTTAAGCAATTGAAATAGTCAAATAATGAGATATGTATATTGCCCCATATAACTAAGGATGGCATCTTAACCTCTGGGTTTAAAGCTCACAAAAAAGAGTTCAAGGCTGTATATAACTTAGAAATAATGGAACTTAAATTCACTTGGACCACAATAATTTTTTAATTATGTAATTTTACACAACATAAAATTATATGTGAAGTGAGTTGCTTGTGTAACTTGGGAAAATGGTGTATTTGTTTTTTCAGAGGTCTACTCGTTGGTATACATCCTGCCCCACATATAGAATAAATAGAGCATTTTTCACATGAAGAATTAGTAATACTTTATATTCTATGCTCTTTATAAATTCTACAATAAGGCTTTTAAACAAAATCACTCTTAGCTTATCGGGTGTGCCTATTCACACTTCATTAAATCTAGATGTCAGTTTAAGTTAATTCACAGGAATAAAGACCAATAAAACTTTTACATAATTTAGATGCTTATTAAATAGCTATTATTTGTCAGTTTGTCTAAATATCAAACATGGTACCAACTAAGATATGCTGGTAGTTATATGTTATGTCACTAAAGCTTCATGGTAATATTTTTATAAGAATTTAAATGAACTCTTCTACATTTATGTATATTTAACATTTCAATTAATTGCATACTTTAGTCTATGTGTTAGTTTCCTAGGACCACCATAACAAATTATCACAAACTGGATGGCTGAAAACAACAGAAATGTATTGCTCACAGTTCTAGAGACCAGATGTCCAAAATCAGGCTGTCTGCAGAGTTGGTTCCTTCTCGGGGACTCAGAGGGAAAAATCTGTTCCATACCCCTTTCATAGATTCTGGTGGTTGCTGGCAATTCTTACAGTCCCTTGGCATATAGACATGTCACTCTAACTTCTGCCTGTATCTTTAGGCTCCCTTTGTGTTGTCTGTGTATCTGCATGTTCTGTCCTCTGCTTATTAGGACAACAGCCCCTTCTTATAAGGACTATTCTAATCCAGTATAACCTCATATTAATTTATTTTTACATCTTAACATGTATTATTTGGACACTATTCCAAGTAATCACATTCTGAGGTGCTGGCTGGACATAAATTTTGGGGAATTGGGGGAGGGTACTATTCAACCCAGTGATATATATATATATATATATATATATATTCCTTGACAATATATTTTACGTATGATAAATGCATTGTTAAACAAAAATGAAACCTTGAGAAGCAAAAATCTCTTAACGTTGTTAATATGTTAGTCAGAGTCAAGGAAACAGAGTTGCTGTATCCAAAATGCTATGCTGGGATTTTAAAATATCTAAATAAGTAGCCTTGCCCCTGTTAACCAAGAAATTCTTTTAGTAAAGCAATATTTTAATAGCTATTCCTACTTAGAGTCTAATTATAATTTACAGCATTTTTACTACTGTTTTTTGTGTATTTAATCATTGGCTGGAATAAAGATTATTCAGTTAAATAGCAACAAGTGATAATATCCCAAGACTCATTTGTAGAACTCTACTATATTTTTCTCTTCATTCTTGGATATAAACATTTCTTGGCCTCATACTTGCAATGTACCACACATTAGAAGTTAATAACGCCCCACTAGGAGCAGACATGCACTACAATTGTTAGTGATACTAGCAGGAAGGAATTAACTGTTCTCATAATCATGATTATACTCTTTCATTGATGTCATAACTGACATCCAGAGAGAACACTAAAGAAATCTTATTGATTTGCTACATTTATACAGTGAACATTCCAAAGTAGAAATTATAGTTTAGGTAATTCAACAACATCTATCCCAACCAATAACACATACTGTGTAAAAATACGAGTATTTTAAAGGATATGAGTTATTATTCAGTTTTCAGTAATTTTATTCTAAATCAGTTTCCAAGAATATTAATCCTCCCAATGCTTCTGTTCCCTAAGCAGATCTCCTCTTAATTCACTTGTAGTGCTAAGGGGAATACCTGATGTCGCTGAAAATAATATCTCTACGTTCTTCTTTAATTGTGCTGTATTGACAAGGAAGATCATATTCCCCATAAACTTACAACCTTTCTACTCTAGTTGGTACTTTGGAGGAAGATGCATTTAACAATTCTTGTGACTATAAAGTACTCTGTTTTACACTGTGAATTTCTATTTCTGTACTATCATCTGTCTATATGTAGTCTATTTTTACTTTTTAATTTATCAAATGCTACTCAAATTCTCAAACTTATTGCTGTAGTACATAGTCATAATGAGTTAGTTCTGATCTGCTGTAATCTAAACTTCCCAATGATAATAGGGAAGTTTGGGATGATTTTATACAACACTAACAATGAAAAGAGAACAATTGCTGAAAGAATGATGAGCAGAAAGGGAAAAAGCATTCAAGTTATCAATAAGTGTTAAAAAAAAAAAAGGCATGGTCTCGAAAGAGCCCATAATGTTTTAGTTCTTCTTTTTATTCTAATCCCTAATTATATCTAACCAACTGATATCAATAAAAAGAAAAGATGGCTGATAACTCATGATTACTGCTCCTCAAAATGACTGGGGGAGGGGAGTTTGGTGCCAGGGTGTCATAGGAAATTAATTTCAATTATTTTCTTTTTATACAGTTAATGCTTATAACTTTCACTGGGCTGAGACTCATTTGTGGCCCTCTCCATTCTCAACTGACTTGATTTGTAGCATAGTGATTAAGAAACAGGCTTTGGCATCAGATGAGTGTGGCTTGATTCCTTTAGAATGTTACTATTTATTGAGGATCTAGGTCTTCTAAGTACTGGAGAAACAGCAACAAACAAAAAAGACAAGGTTCCTGTTCTTGTGAAACCCACATTCTACTGAGGGAGGTAGATAATTTAGAAAGGAAACTTAACAAATAATTAAGCAAGATAACATCAGATAGATAAATGCTCTGAAAAGGAGGATGAGGGATATAATAGTGATTTGGGTGGGGAGGAGGGTTGAAGGTGATTATTACTTTAGATGGGAATCAGGACAAGTTTCTTTGAGGAAAGTCACATTTGAATTAGAATCTAAATGAAGAAAAGAAATCATAAATGAAGTACCCAGGTACCCCAGCTTTCTGCAGTTTCTCTATCTGTAAAATAAGGCACGGGGCTGCTTTGATGATGGCATTTAAAAATGAATGAAAAATACTTAGCACTGACCTAGTAAGTGTATGAAGCCCTCTTTCTGGCTGTCTGTCCTTAAGACATTAAAGCCTAAAGCAGGGTTAGCTTTTAATCTTGTTAACAGCAAAGTCAGTTACCAAGTTACCTCATGTATGTGAGATGAAACGTATTCTGTTATCTCCAGATGTCATTTCCCAAATAGATCCATCCTTCTGGATTTCTCCATACCTGGGGATTGGAAAAGATGGTTATTGTCACTATCAATCCACCTCTAAGTTAGCTGGGAAAATCGCACAATAATGTTTAAATGGCCAAATCCACACTTAATGTATCTGAAGATTTCATCCAGGGTTAACATAGTACTCCGCATTTCAAGACATTTTAAAATTAGCAACTTAAACAGAAGTCCCCAGAGGCTGTGGCCTTGTCTTGTTGATGAAACTAGTTTGGTTACACAGCTAATTCCATCAAAGGCATTGAACCAAGTGTTAGT